GTGCTGCACACTTACACAAGCATGTTAATCGCCACGGATTATGCTCACTTTTGGCATCATGCTTTCTAATGACTACGCACTCTCCTTAAGCATAGAAAGGTTGTACGGCAGTCTTGTAATCAAACGCTTATTTCAGAGATCGATTCATTTGTGATAAAAATATCCTACCTCGGCTTAGAAGATTTTACTGCGAAGGCAAAACTGAATTCAAATCCTTTAATATCACTTCTTGGTATTACGCTGAACCGGGAGAAAATCTACCTACGCTGCTTAATTGGTATTCCAGATACCAGAATAGACTATAGCTTTATATCTGGGTCAAGCTGTTCTACAGTCTTGAAGCTTGTTACTAAGCTATATCAATTTGATACTATACATGCTTCACTTCATTGATAATGTCGGCTGTCTGGGCATACGCACCTTAACTATCCTCGGCTGAAATTCTTTAAGAGCTGAACACAAGAGGGGAAATGTTCAAACATGGACAAGTTTCTCGAAGTATAGTGTTATTTATTTTCAAGGTTAGAGCTTACTATAGGATGTCTTGAAAAATATAATATATGCTAATACAAAAAATTCCTTTTACATTGAAAGTCTATTTGTCAACTGTTAGTTTCAACTCTAATTGTGGCAATATTACAGTATGGTTGTATATCAAAGTTTCAAAACACCTTTATATATAGGGCTATCCATCAAGGCAAGGAAAGCCTTTCGACAGATTTTGTGCCATATCTACTCCTTTTAAAAATTACTTTAATATTTTTTCCGAGTTAATATACAGGTGTTTCTGTCATCTATATTCTCGTCATTTCTTTGGTTAACTTAGAAGATCTATTGGATAGAAAAGTCAGTAAGGGATCTGATGAGCCTCTAGACACGAATCTCTACTCGGCCCAGCCTCGAGTTCATGGCAAGGGCTGGGCAGGAGCAGACAACGGTTACTCCGACACTGAGACGAACTCTCGCTGGCGAATCAACTCCGACTTAAGAGACTCTGAGGAGCAGCAATTTCGGAAGTCTGTCATTACCAAGGAGTTCGAGAGACGAAGATCGGCCAACACCCAGGTATGCGCCTGACCATTGTTTTATTATGCTAAATTTGGTATACTTACTATTTACGAGAATAGTTTTGAATATGCCCAATTCTTTTTTTTGCTGCTTTTCTGGTTAGTTTTTTTGGTCTGTGTTGAGCTATGGTCATGTAGTCAAGGGCAATTCGAACCTCTTGGATAATTATGCGTATCTTGAGACATCTAAAGGACAGTCTTTCAATTCCTGGTCTATGCAGGAGTTTTAGTATGCCTCATGCTCTTATAAACCAACTATGCAGACCCACTTATAGCTTCCAAACTAAGTTATTGTTCTGATAATTAGCTGATCATAACAACGTGACTTTTATCCGTTGGATTTGGTTTTTGTGTCTTTAAATAAATCAGCTATAAACTAGGTTCATTTAATAAAACTCTATTCAACTATCTAAAGAATCTTTAATTATAGACAATATCAGCCAGCCTTTTTTATTTTCACCACACAATGACTTGCAAGACCTATGATCCCGTGGTCAGTGTGCTGCATGAGTCTGTCCTTCTGTATACTCCTACCCTTTTGAGATATGTTTTTTACCTTTATTAGACTCTTTGGCGATCTGCTCCCCAAACATCAATTTTGATCGATCCTGATGATGCACGACTTACTGGCATCACCGGTTATTCTCGAGACCAGACTCTTCAATTGCTCATATCTTCCCTGCAAGATCGTTTGAGAACGCATGCAGTCATCTCAGCCACCACTTCTGATCAATCCTCTGATGTTCGAGCTCTCATTTCTGTTCCTCCCGCTGCCGGTCTTCTAGTAAAGACTGACTCATGCCAAGAGAAATTCAGTAATCCCGGGATACTCTGTGCCAAAGCGGAAAGGCGAATTTTGTCGGAGGCCAAGGTATTTTTGAAAATCTTTCTTTTGTTTTATATACGAACAAAATGCATGTTTCGAAGAATCTCCTCGGATAAGATTGATGTGAGGACTTTCATTTCGTATGGAAGTACATGATGAAGAGATTCATGGGACGTCGGCTGATTCGCGCTGTACTGCAGCCATTTGGCTGGTTCAGGTTCATGTTGACGTTCAGGTTGGCGCAGTCCATGAGACATCCTCAAACGTTTCGGTCGAAGACGGGCTGAGCTTGCGTTCGTTATGTGACGAACATCGTTAGAGCCGAGACTAATTCTTGTTACAGCTTCAAGTTAACATTAAGTCAAGAAGGCTAGCCGGCTTTTTTATATATTCTCTATAAACTAATTGCTAGCCAAATTTAAGATATAAATGGGTATAGGAAGGTTTGTTAAATTCACGTACAATAGTGTGTCTATATATATATATATATATATATTAACGTCTACCCAAAACCGGCCATAACTCAGAGTAATTAGTAAAAAAGCCTAACATCAGCCCCGGGTTATCAAGGCTTAATGATCCAAGGAAAAAATAAAATAAAAACGGATGACTGAGATTGCGTTAGTCCGTAAGTAACCCTGGTTAACTTGATGAGATGTTAGTATGTACACTGACAATCAAGTTACGAAATAACCAGTCCGAACCCGTTAGTCTGGGTAATCAAGGTTTACTGGCCCAAGGAGAAACTTGGCTGGAATTTCGTAGCTCCGCACGTCTGTTTCGGTAGATGAGCTTGGCATGCCTGTTGAACTAGTGTTGGACGGAGCCCCAACACCCTTTCTATCTTTCAATCTTTCAATCAGGCTTAAGTAATACTTCGAAGGTATGAAGACCAAGATGGTGTGGCCTTTTGTGTGGCCGAAGTCTTCTTTCGTTGTATAGAAGTTTGACTTTGTTTTCGCAACTTGGTCATATTGGTAGGAAGACTTAGGGGAACGCACCTAGTTCGGAGTCCATAATATGCATGATAATTTCCAGTCGGACCGTGGACGTGGTACATTCCCAGACGTTTCGTCGGCATCGTAGTCGGCATTGCCAGTGAATCTTGCCATTCTTAGCACTACACAACAACTCGTCAAAAGAGACAGGTGAAGCCGATCCTTTAACCAATTGTCTGCTAAACAATCGTGATATCTCTCCTTCCGCCCTGGGCTAATCACTAATCCTATATGCTCGTATCACTCCTTCACTATCACAATTTTATAGGATTGGTGATTAGCCTAGGGGTGGAGGAGAGATACCACGATTGTTTAGCAGACAATTGGCCAAAGAATCTCCTCTGACAAAGGCTACTTTTTGTTCACCGCTTCTTAATTTCTCAAATATGCATCTGTATCATGGCAAAGTCACTTGGACCTCTGTGTAATGGGGATTGTGGACGGCTTCGAAACCCAAACAAAATCCTTCATAGACCGTATCCATTATGACATGAATTTATTAGCTCCGCAGTAGTGTAATATAGCCATAAGGAAGAGGTTTCATGATCAGATTTCCCGTAGAAGCGCGACGTGGAGTGGATTTGGGGTCGTTCCAAATGAAGTCTTTTTGCTGCTGTGGAGCAAATAAAGTCCTGTCATTATGGACATGGACGTAACGACATCGTTTTAAGAGAACTTTGGGTTTCGAAGCTAGTTGAGTGGTAGCCTTCTTATGCGGAGGTTCGACACACTGCTATAATGCTGATACTAGGCGCGATGCGCACTAAATTAAGGACATCCGTGTGAGGTCTAATCTTTCATGAGTACGCTATGGAAAATTGATGCCATGCCTCTTCCTTATATGTATTCTTCTGCTATTTGTCTTTCCATTTTATATTACTGTCGCAGTTACCAGCGTTGGAACTTTTTAAACCAACTTCACTTCATGAAGATTCATTTCTTTACAGGCTGACTAATGGTAACAATGCCCAGTATGAATTACGTACTGCATCAAGGCTCAGCGAATAAGAGTATGGCACTATCCTCTTTGGCATTTATTCTTACAGTAACTCTTTGCATAGCAATGAGTCGCAGTTTGGTGCTGCATGTTTTCTTCTGCACTAGATTTATTGTATAATCGAGTGAATTTTTATTTTTAGAGTTTTTTCAGCCTCTGCTTTACTTTCCACGCATTTCATAATTCCTGACTGATTGATGTGCATTTATTTATATACCTTAGTTCATTTTGATTGTCTTTTTTATAAGGACTTGAATTAACCAACACTATACAGCTAAAGGAGACTGCAACCAAACCCAAGGCCACACCATCTTGATCTTCATATCTAGCTCACACAATGCTTCATCTACAGGTGATGTGGAAGAGGAACAGCTTGTTTACCTAAGATTAATAGAGAAAGCAGTCATTTCCGAATGAATGACCTTTTTATGTTGTTTGAGCAAGCTGGGGAAGAAGGTTGTCCTTTCCTCCGAGACTGTACGATTATACTATTTCAATATTAGCAGCCGCAGCTTTGGAGCCAGTTCGTAGGAGGATGGACAGCAATGGTTTTTCCTCTGTTTCCTTTGCTTTCCTTTCTTAATCTCTGTCCTGCCATTTGCTCATCACGATCCGTATGATGCGTTGTATTGCTTCTTCTGGATATCCGTTTCCAAGAAATACCTGAGTTAGTTTTTTTCAGCTTGCCTTCACAGGATCTGTCAATCGTAGGTGAAAGGGGGCCAGATGAAAGTCAGAAACCATGACCCAGCAGCCCTGCCAACGGCATCTGAAACCGTGGGTGAAAGTGTTTATGCCTCACTAAATTCATTTGAAGCAGCATTTGAAGAAACGAGGGCACAGAATATTGTAAATGGGTCAAATGAAGTAGGGTTAAAATAAAGAGAGGCAGCACTAGAAGGTAGGAAAAAAAATATGGGCAAGAAGGGGTGGCACAATGATTTAGCAGAAAAATTGGCCAAGGAGGTTGCCTTCACTTACCACTTTGGTAGGTTTTAACTCTGTACTAACGATAGTGCCTTTCACTGACGATGCTGGCGAAACGTCTGGGAATGTACCAAGTCAATGGTTAGATGCTGGAAATCATGAATAGCATGTCAAAGGAGACAGGATTAGATACGCTCCACAAGGTTTCCCTGTTACCCCAACCATGTTGCGAAAACGAGGTCAAACCAACTGTATTTTTTTTTACTAACTTGCTTCCGCCTTCTTGATATTTCCCTTTCCGTTTCTTTCCACGCAGATTGCCGCCCTATATCGTACTAACATGGTTCGTCTGATCACTCGAGTACGCAAGTGTCCGGATGCCCTGTCAGCCTGGGAAGTGGTCTCTGAAAAGGCGGGCGACTCATTCATTTCATCTGAGTCTCAGATGGGCACAGGCTCCTTGGCTATCTCCGAGGCTACTACCACTACAAACAATGCTGCCACCATCGCTTGTACCTCTTTGTACCACAAGCATAAACTGCCAAATTCTATCATCGCTAAGAACGTTCAGAGTGCCCTTATCCTAGCGCCTAAAGACGAGGATGAGCAAAAATCCGAGTTGCACAGTTTCTCTGAACCATCCAGCTCTAGCTTTGTTGGAAACACGCGGACTCTAGAAATAAGGGTAAAATATTTATCCTTGCTTTTGAAAACAGCTCCCCAAGGCCAGATTAAGGCCACAAATAAAAGTCTCCAGGTTATCCATCAAAGATGGTAATCAGCTAGTAGGTCTTGGAGTATATTGATAACTGGACAATCCCATACAAAAATCATTTAAATTATATGAGATATATTCACTCTGTTTCGTTTAAGGTGATGAAGGTCTGGTAGTTGAATTTTCCTACAATCATATGAAAATAACTGATGTTTTCATCAAATTTCACATAGCCCTGTTTTCCTTAAAGGTGTTCTCATCCAGACTCGACTGCAGTTCGACCTCGTCTAGGTCTTATCAACACTCCCAAAGGAAGTCGAACCATGACGGTGCAGCATGTAATCTCGACGCGTTAATCACTACCAGTCATTCATCACCTTGAATTAAATATGGTGAATACATCTTATATAACTGATTTAGTGGTAATCTCGAAGCCTTATTTATAAACCAAAAATAAGTCACTAATTATTTTTTGCTTATTTAACTCAGAATACCTAAACAGCTAAATAAGTCTTATTTTTACCTATTCTGAAAGGCTAAATTTTAACTGAAAACTACATATCTGCGCAGTATAGAAGACTTTGTTACATCCTAAAGTATTTTATTCCCATGCTAGGAGTGCCCAAATAAGCTTATTGGTCTTAGAAAGCTGTTTCAGCATGGATTCCTGCACAAATGCTAAAATCAGATAGCCTACTCTTAAAATATATTTAATCTTATTAAATATTTTCATAAACTTTTATATGTGCATGACAAATTTATCAGAGTTTAAAAATGAAAATGTGAAATACTATTAAGAGCGCTAATTTCAGAAGCCTCTAACATTCAGTCAAAATTTTTTTCTGAAGAAAGCCGAAACTTTCAATGCAATCAGGAGCATAAATTCCTATATCCGCCGAAAACTTTAATTGTATTTTATCTTTAATATACACAAGATGAACCGGTGCTTAGAAAGATAATTACTTAATTAGCATGCTTCTCAAAATAATTCATCTTGTAGTTAAATTAAACATGGAATATGCAGCTGAGATCAAAGACAAAAAACCCCGTAAGCCAGGGATTCCCAAACTGTGCGCCGCGGGGCCCCAGGGATCTGCGGCCTCTTTACAGGGGCGCCTCGAAATATTTTAAAGGCTTCAATTTGAGAAAATGTGCAGTGATTTGCAGGCTCATCCATCACATTAATTATTAATTTAATGTTAATAAAGTAAAAAATAATGAAGATACGCGAGTTTTATTTCTATTTATCTCTTAATTACGAATTGTCATACTTAGGGCAGGGCGTTATGAAAAAGGGCGCCGCGACTAGGAAAAGTTTGGGAACCACTGCTATAAGCCCTAAAATGGCATTAACATAACACTTCATGCCTTAGCTAACAATGAACGGGTCTGTATATACATTATCAGACGTCGACCTACATTCTTAATAGATTATAGATCAAATGTAAAAAATTGGCACCATGCTACACATACCTTAGGCTCAAACAAAATCCAACTAACGTTAGCGCAAGCTTCCAGTAGATCTGACTGTTCCTTTCATTATTCATATCAGG